TAAATACCGGCGTTGGTTGAAGATGGACTCCATGAACGACTTGCGGTCCTTCACCCCTTTACAATCCCTCAGCGCCCGCGCCAGCACCTCGCCGGCAATCCACCCATCCACCATCAGCTCCCCGTCACCGTCATTATTGAGGAAATGATCCGTGTCGTTATAGACTCTCTGCCCGCTGCTATTCATGTATTATTTCACCTCCGCCACGAAGCGCCGCATCGTCGCCTTGGCGCCGTCGCCGCAGCAACTCAGGGAGGTCAGGCCCTGGAACGCCACGCTCACCTCCTCCAGCGCGTTCCGCATCTCCTTCATCACCAGCATGGTGCGCTGCATTGCCTTCTCAAACCGCTGCAGCGACTCACGAAGGAGAGTCATGTCCCTGCACTTTGTGGGATAACTCAGATCCTGCTGCATCTGCGGCGGCGGCCCACAGCGACAGGCAGAGAAAGACCGACGGCAAGCACCCGCCTACCCGGCACGCATGCACAGCAGCAACAAAAAATAAAATAAAAATAAATAATTGGAAAAAGAACAAAAGAAGAGACATAAGCACACACAAAACTAAGCGAAGAAAGCGTCCTGGTAGGGAGCCGTCATGAATGTCGCCTTCATACACGCACTCTTTTTCTTCCTACAACACACACACACACTTGCTTCCATTCCAAGGGACCGGGAGATGCAGTCGCACTACCAGTTGCCACACCAGCCTTAGGGGCCGACAGCAAACAAGTTTAATATCGCTGCAGCAGAAAAGGATATACCGGGAGCAGGAAAAGAGGGGGAAAATGCCCAAATGACCAGAAGAAATCTAGCACTTGCATCCTTTTGAATTATTCTCGGACGATCCACCACCGCCGCCGCCGCCACCACGGCCACAGCAGTGCGAGAGATTTACCTTGGACGCCTTCTTCCTCTGCTGCTGCTGCTGCCGCGGTTGAGATTCTTGTGAAACTGCGGCGTTGTTTCTTGCGAATAGTTCGGCGCGTCTAAACCGACCTTCGATCTCCCGCTGAAACTCCGCAGAGTCTGCGCTGCTGTACTCCACCGACTTCCGGCGATTACCCTCGTCCACTTCGGTGTGGGAAAGTGAGGGGTGACTTCCCCGCCTCTCTCGGACTGCAGAGGGATCCAAGAAGCGGATGTTGCTGACCGCGGTGTGGGGCACGTTGGGCGGAGAGGTGGAGGCATCGTTGTCCGTGGAATTTATGTGGCCGCCGTCCACGGTGTGATCCTCGAACGGAGACGCCGTCTCCTCTACAGGCACCGCGGAAACAGGATCGAAGGGCGGCTGCGTGTGCACCGACAGCTCCCCACTCCTGGAAAGGGGCAAGTGATGGGGGTCGGCATGCCGCTCGCTGGCGCTCTGAGCCGCGCTGCCGTCAACGCGTTCCTTCGGGGAGTGCGCATCCGCCGCCAGTGGCGCCTTCACGTCTGCCGGAGGCGCGGGAGGCGCCGCGGGTGTCGCCTCTACGGCAGGGGCGGGGCTGTTTCCCTTTGGAAGCACGGAGTGCTGCAGCTTCTTCGCTGCCTCCCCCTCCGCCGGCGGTGAGGTGGTGGATTCCTCCCCGCTGTGCACGCTAAGCAGTGACTGGCACAAGTCGTGCAGCAGGCCCCCCACACCAATGCTGGTGACGGCACTCACCTCGTGGTAGAGGACGTCCGGCAGCAAATCCAGCAGCTTCGACTGGAGATCAAACTGCGTCACGGGTTCCGCCGCAGTACTCGTCCCGTGCGTCTCTTTCGACGTCAGCAGGAGGTCCGTCTTGTTCCCGACCACGACCACGCTGCGCTGGTCCAACTCCGGGTTGTAGTGGGCGGCCCTCTCCAGGTGGGTCGAGAGCAGGCCCTCGAAGCTGCGCCTGTCGCTCACGTCAAAGACCACCACCACGGCGGAGGCGTTGCGGTGCGTGGTGGCGTGCACCGCGGCGTACCGCTCCAGCCCCGCCGTGTCCCAAAACTGCAGTCGCACGTGCTGCCCACGACGTACGTTGTGCACCACGCGTGAGAAGAAGTCCGTGCCGACGGTCGGCGTCACCGACTTGCAGGGATTACCCGCGGCGGGCGATTCCTCCGCCGGCGCCGGGGCCGCAGCCTCCCCGTCCTGCGCGTACGGCACACCCAGCAGCCGCTTCACGAGTGACGTTTTGCCCACGCCGTAGTCGCCCACAACGACGACTTTGAACACAAACTCCTGCTCATCGAGCGACTCCGTGCCGCTGCTGGCGTCGCCGGTGGCCGTCTCCGCCTCCGCCTTGGACACGTGCCCCGAGGCACTCACGGCGCTCATGGCCGCCGCGGCGCACGCACGGCGGCAGACGCGCCTCCCGCGGCTCCCACCTCTCACTCCTCCTCCTTCTTTCCTTCGCGCGGCAACGCTAACAGGCAGACCCGCAACGCCGCCGCCTGCGCCTCGTGTCCGTTGCCCTTGAGTGTATAAATATATTATATATTTACTTATTTATCCCGCACCCTACCGCTCTGCCCTTTGCCCTGTTCCCCCGGGAGTGTCGTGCGTGCGTGCGTGCGTGTGGCGGGGGCCGGAGAGAAGTCACGCGGGCCGAAGGAAACAAAAAAAAAAGGCGGACGGGAAAAGAAAAGGG